GTAGTGAACAGTCATGAAATGTTTATCAGTGATCCCTGCATGAGACTGGATTCCTGGAGCATTCCAGACCCCTCCTGTGCTTATGATCCCCTCAGAGAAAACATGCCATCTGATCTTATACTTGTTATACTCTAACCAGCGAATGGTTCACTCATCATGCTTGATGGACCTACATTTACTAATAAAGGAATGCCATATTATGTTTATTGACATTTTCCTTTAGTGGCTTAATATGCTTTTTAGCATTTGTAAATGCGTAGATAAAATCTGTTAGATATTCCTTTGAGCTTAATTGGAATAAAATCACCTATTTTTAATGGTCATGAAGCATTGTAAGAGATTTTTTACAGCATACATGGATTAATTCGTTAAATGTCTCAAAAACCAAAGCTGGCCGCACACTGTTAGAAAGTAATTTGAACAAGAAACATTTTGCATCCTGAGGCTTCTATTTTTCTCGAACACAAACATTGATTAGACCCAACTTACCATTAGAAATTCGAGCAAACATTCTAAATATGAACTTTCTTTTTAACAAAATGTTGTTGTATGGCCAGCTTAAGACCTATAAACAAACTTACAATGACGGTGATATTTTGGATAATACACATCTTACATCCTGTTTAGTTTTTATTATAGGCCAGTGAATTTTTGAACCAGCTTCCCCCCACCACCACCACCTCTACAGTTAATTTGCCTATCCTGCTCATTCCTGTTCCTGATGTTTCAGTCCACCATTGTAGTAAAGGAGCATATTCTTAGCTTTGTTTCAAAGGTAAAACCTTACTGACTGCATTGGGCAAACACTCTAGTTTTGTTCAAATGTATTTTGCTTCAATTCTGAGCCCTGGAGATCTTTAACCACTTGAAGTCCGCGGTGTTTCACCCTCTTCCTGGCCAGGCCATTTTTCAGTATTCAGCGCTGCGGTACTTTGACTTGCTGCTTCATCAGCTTCTCTGCGGTGTTCTGCACAGCCATCTGGCTGTTTACATGCTCACAGTTTTCCCTCTCGTGTGCGAGCTGAGTGCCGCACACGAGAGGGGGGAGTGGCAGGACGTCTTAAGACGCCCTCCCGCTCCTAGCAGACTTCCGTCCAGCCGTTCACAAACGGCAATGGACGGAAGGTGGTTAAAGTGTATTTCCACTTGTGTAGGCAAATTTGAGAAAAGCCCTAATTATGTTTGTTATGTGTTCCTATTCACACAGCATAATGGGAAATCATTTTTGAAAAATTATTTCTTAGCTTTTAGATATTTTGTTGCAGCAGGCAAGATGACTGATTCCAGATTTTTCTGCGCATCTTCACTAGGGATTTTTAGATACCAGTTCAGATACCAGTGCCCAAAGGGAACTGCCAGGGCTGCAGCGGTTGCAGCTGGGACCTGGCTCTGGCGCTCCAGCGCTGTCCTGAAATAATTTGTCTGTATTGTTTTAGAAAAACTGTCACATGACGCTATCAAAAATGGTATCAGCAATTGTATCTGTGAGTACTTGGACAAGTGTCTGTACTTGTACATGGTCTGGAAAAAATGGTATCGGTGCATCCCTAAAATAAATAAATAAATGTATATATGAAAAATAGATATATCTATTGACATATATAGATAACAAATCATGCATTAGAACAGGGATGCATAAAATCCCAGAAACCCTGTAGCCCAGGGGCGCCCACAATTTTTCGTTCGGAGATCTACTTTTCAACTGACAAGCTCAATGAGATATAGCAACGAAAAAACATCTGCATTCAGGGGGGGAGGGAGCATGGTGGTGCATTGAAGTCAATGGCACCGCAGCCACGCAAGCAAAAATGCAGGCAGGTGATCGCACTGTGGGCAGGGGGCATGGCTTTTAAAATAGAAAAAGAAATTGGACACAAAGTCCTCAATCTCTTTTTCTGCAGCCTCTGTTCTAAATGAATGGAAAGCACAGAGGCGTCCCAATCATTCAGAAAATATTTACTATCAGTTTCTGAATGGGGAGGAGCCTCTGTACAGAGTGCTTCTCCCCATTGAGAATCTCATGAATGAACAGGAAGTGATGTAAATCACATCCTGTTCATTCATAACTGGGGACACATAGTACTATGTACAGTAGAAAAATGTCACCAGCACACCATGAGTTGAAAAAGCAAAATATTTTATTGCCAATGAGATACAGCTACTGGCAATAAAATATTTTGCTTTTTCAACTCATGGTGTGCTGGTGACATTTTTCTACTGTTCATGTGTGGCGGTGCCATCCGCAGTCATTTCGAGCACCCATCTTCATCAAGTGGGAATCCCGGTAAGGAGTGCGGTATGGTTCCTGTTTCTGTTTACATAGTACTATGTGTCACCAGTTATTTACAAACACTGGAGTGATCAGCTGATCGCCCCAGTGTTTGTCCTGCACAGAGGATTGGTACATATCCTCTGCCGCTCAACCACGCACAGGTTGGCTCAGCTTCTCCTCTGGATCTTCGCTGTTCTCCCGGGCAGAGGCAGCGGGGGGGATC